CCAGATTGAAATCCAGCAGCCTGTACAACAGTCAATACAATTAAATGCCTTGGACTGATCCAAATTGATCTGTACAGCTAATTTCTCATCTTCTACAATCTCTACGATTGTATGAATCAGATACAGGTTGCTCTGAATTGTTCATCCCTTCACAATACAAGTCTGCTCTCATCTCAACAGAATCTCAGCAACTGACTAAACGTGCCATCAGTATCTTGGCTAAAATCTTTAACTCTGTTTTTAGCAAATTTATGGGTTTGTAATCATCTAAGCCCCCCCACCACCACCATGCTTGTCCTTTTTTAACAGCATGATCACATACCTAGAGATCCAATCAGAGACAGATCCCTGCCAGAACCAGTTATTGAATAACGCCATCAAAATCAGAAAAAAACGTGATGGAAACTTTATGCTAATTTTACTGAAAACTCCTCTCAATTTTTATGAACTTCACTGTTCTTCGTTTTAACATTACAACTATGATTAGCATGCCTTCATTATGGCAGCCGGCAGAAATAGCCAGTAAGCATTTGCAGTAGTATGGGGGAAAGGATGAAGGTAATAAAATAATTTGCTGAAACCTGAACCTTGCCAGCCTGAATGCATGACCTCTTGACCCAGGAGTAGAGGAGATCAAGTGAAGGTAAAGGAAAAGGACAGAAAAACTGCAGTGTTTTTTTCTACTATAATAAATTTTGATAAATGTAATTTTTTAACCAATGGCTACTCCAGCCAATTGAAATCTGAAATCCTTGTTAACCACCAAATTTTGAGGGGTAAATCAGAGCTGTCCTTTTGGCTATAAAAATTCCTGCAATTCATACATCAAGTGAGTTGAAAAACAATGAATTCTGTCACAAACTTCAACAATTCACATCAAATCACAAGAAATATAAAGAATGTTCACATTTTTATGCCTTCAAGGTAATTATACGTTTTTAATTGGGTTCAACCTCACTGAAATCCTTTTATTGTACCTTCTTCTTTGTAATTTGCACTGTTTTGTATAAACTGACATTTTTCTTGTGATTTCTCATTTTATTTGATTGGTTTGATTGTAAACTTGAGCTTTTTCCCACAAATACCATTAAGCCTTTTTATGGAAAAAATAAGTTACTTCTCCAGGAATTTATTATCCCCTTTTTCCGGGCACATAAACCACCAAATTTGGGCATCCCTAACATTTACTAAAATTTGTTTTTATTTTAATAAAATTGATTTGTTTTTATAATTCACTGAATATCTTTTGTCATGTTTTTTTTGTAAGGCACTTTGTTGCCACTTGATCTCCATTCTCCCCAATCACTTTTAGCTGAACCCACAAAATATACAGTAATAGCTATTCTTTTTTCCCTTATTACTATTTTTCATGCCACAACTTATGCATGGAATGCTGTCTCTTTCTTTAGAAGAAGACATAAAGAAACCTGTACAGAAGAAGAGATTAGGGCTGGGGGGTGATGAACAGACTACCAGCAGCAGTATCTTGACCTGAAAAGTTGAACTCCAGTGGCACGTAAAGTTTGAGTCAACCAGCAACTGTTCAAGTTAAGCATCTTGTTAGACAACGTATACTATTTGAGTGTCTGCATTAGCATAGATGCAGCACAGATTTGTTTAGGTGCATCTTCCTTACTTATTGCCTGGCCAAGTGCACCCGCAAAGTAGTGAGTCAGTAAACTTGCATGCTAGATGGTCATTGACCTTACCCTACAAGATATTTCATCTGCCCTTTAAAAAGTTTGTTTATCCTTCTACTGGGTACTAGTCATCCTTTTCATCAAATATACCTGGTGAAGGAACAATTGATTACCCAATAGTGCAGTAGATAGTACTAGATTACATAGTACCAGTAGGACTCTTCAAGTGTTATAGAGTTTATCTTCTCATTTCTTTATTTCTTCACATACTTGGCATTATTATGTGCAGTCTATTAACATCACACTTGTCTGGCAACAAGTTTCTCTACTTAGCTTGATACCACAAAATCAGAAGGAGTGTTTTACATCACAGCAGAGGACCTAACCAATATATTACCCAGCCAACAACAACTTGGTGACTTTTATTCAGCCTGTATCAAATCTATTGAACAAATTGAATTCAATGGATTTGTGTGTGTGTATATGTGTGTGTGTATCAGGTTAGAATAACTAATTTTCAAAATTCATTTGCAAGGTATATAAGACTTGCACAATCAAAAATAAAATACTAAACAGGCAACAAAGTCTCACCAGTTTACAGTTGAATTGGTTAGATGCAACTGTAAGTTCTATGCTAACAGTTTCTTCCATATAAGAGTGAACACAACACAACTACTAATCTTGTAGTGAGTCCTGATAAAAATAAAATACATAACAAAAATAAAAAGAATTCATTCAGAGATTTGCGCTTTCCTTTGAAACCCTTATCTCTTTCTTTCTCTCTCTCCCTGAACTTCTCTTTCTATGCTTCTCTCAACTAATGAGAAGACATCCCTCAAATAAAAAGAGGAAGAAGAAGCTGACACCTCTGAGCTAAAAGAAGAAGGCATGGCAAGAGTGATGAGAAAAGATGCTACCATAGAAAAACCAGTCATGCATGACACATGAAGAAGTAGTTAAGAGGTTATCTGCTAATGATATTTCTGCCTTGCTTAGGGCCAAGAAACTCACAGTAAATTGACACTGACCTATTTTTAATATTACTAACGGTTTGACTTCAAAATTACCACTACCAGACTTTCTCCAACCTACTACCAATATCAGCCTTATAAACAAACATTTTTGTGACACCGAATATTAAAAGACTCACTCCAAAGCAAATAAATAAAATATATTATACTATTTAGTCTATACCCTTGAGTCATTTTATTCCAATGTTTCCAGTAAAAAAAAATCCAACCACCATCCACAATCTTAACAAAAATGAAACTGAATCAGTGGATTAATGATGGACAAAATAATCGTTAATATGAGTGCTGTTTACTGTATAACTGCTTGAAAATAGGAAGAAAGAAATTTAATATGAGTGCCGTTTACTGTATAACTGCTTGAAAATAGGAAGAAAGAAATTTAATATGAGTGCCGTTTACTGTATAACTGCTTGAAAATAGGAAGAAAGAAATTTAATATGAGTGCCGTTTACTGTATAACTGCTTGAAAATAGGAAGAAAGAAATTTTAACAATCAAGCACAGGATATCTCAAGGTTGCTCCCAATAAAACAGTGAAAAATTTCAGTAGAAAAGGTCAAAATTCTACTTTTGGCTTCTTTTTCTTAAATCTATATATTGCACAGATCTTACAATAGTAAGTTGAAACTAATTTTTATTTTCTAATCAAGTTCACCCCAAGCAAGGCAGTAAAGCCACTGAAACACAAGAAGTTACTGGGTGTGGAAGAATTAGAAAACAGAAACATCACTAAGAAGTGAAAACAAAAGATATGTAATCAGGAGGACAATAGAAAGCAACTGACTTTGCATTTAAATTTTTGAAGATTAAAGTTGGTTGGAAAGCATGAAGCCAGAAGTGAGTTCCACAAATGAGAAGTGCGAGAAAAGATGATGTTAGGATATAACTTATAGATGCATCTAACCAATTCAACTGTAAACTAATGAAACTTTGTTTCCAATCTAGTATGTTATTTTTGATTGTGCAAGTCTTACATACCTTGCAGATTAATTTTGAAAATTAGTTATTCTATGATGATACATACACATGCACACACACACACACACACACACACACAGTATACCATTATTGAAGTTTATATAATCAGTACATTTTGTTTTTACTATATATCTACTTTTGCATCCCCCTGTATATATAAAAGTGGACACTGAGGGCAACACCAAGTGGTGACAGTCCATCTCATGCTCCACTATGTTATTTAAATATACTCTATCTCTGATATTGATCACTTTTACCAATAAATATACCATACCACAAAACTATATTTTTATTATATGTGTGTGTGTGTGTGTGTGTATTTCCAAAAGAATTTAAATTATGGAACTAGCGCACAAGTCAGCATTCTGAAAAATTCTAAGCAAGTTTAAAAAAGAGCTCACTATAGTATTGTGGTGAATACAAAAATAAAGTAACTCTCTCTTCTCCACTGTTTATTTTGATTTTAATTTATTTTGACCAATAGAAAAAGGGATTGGCTCTGGGTTGAAGAAGAGACCAAGGCAAAGTTTAATGAGCCTATGTGAAGCTTTGTTTTGAGCAATGGAAAAGGGAGTACCTTACAAACTGAGGAAAAGTAATGAGCAATGTGAAATTGCTTTTTGATATAAATAGGCAGAGAAAGTTGAATCAAGGCAGAAAGAAACAGGAGGCAGAAAGCCAGAGTTCCACATGTCTGAATAACACCAGTGTCAAATAACACACTGATCAGTCTCTAATGAGAGCAGGGCAATTTCAAAGAACTCTATTCAACTCCAAAGCTAAGTACCTTAAAATGTATCTTTTCATTCATGTTGAATACAACTGTATAAGTTTTATGTGAAAAACGAACTCTCAATTTGTTTTAAACATTTTGTAATATTACTTTGTGTAATTATGAACATTTTCTCTTCTTGACAATTCATCGAAATGACAAACTTTAAATATTTGATTCCTTTTCCTGAAACAAGCTAACAACTTCAAATGTGTAAAATTTGTAAATAAATTCCTTATCTTGTTTCGTTTAAGCACGTGTGTTTCCTCGTCATTATCCCTCAGTACTTCAGCATAATGAAATTATGGAGCAGTAAAAAACAAAAACAAATAATAAATTAAGAATACAAAAGTTCATTATTCATTTATTGGTATAAAAAGAAAGAAATTTAATTTCAAGTTATTAAATCTTAGATTTGTAAAGACCCGTGGAACAAAATCAAGTTCAATAACTCCGATTCTCCTAAACACAATTTTAAAAAGGTGCTTTTTAGTTACCTCCCTTTATGAGCTCAAGCGGCCACGTGCAACCATTATCATAGCGGAAAGAAAAGCAAGAACTACAATTTCTACCTCAAAATATGAGTTTCGCTAAATACAAAGAATATATCGAGGATGGGGACACTGTTATTCTGTTTCTGGGTTTTGATAACACTCTTAGCATTCGTGTGAGTAAAGGAACTATTTCGCAGACTCGGTACGGAGCCCTCAGACATTCGGAATTGATCGGGCGTAAATATGGTTCACAAGTGCATTGCCCGAAAGGTTGGCTATACGTTCTTTACCCGACCCCAGAGCTCTGGACATTAAATGTTCCGCACAGAACACAGATTCTTTATTCCACAGACATTAGTTTAGTTACTCTTCAATTGGATTTACGACCTGGTTCAGTTGTCTTAGAAGCAGGTAAAAAATTTTTTTTTAATTTCATTTTATTATTATTCGTTTTTAAATTATTCTGATCATTTCTGAAAACGTCTATCTTTTTTATTCCTCAACTTTATACTAATTAAAGTAAACCATTTTTAGTAGGTCTTTTTAGCCGTTTTTAAAATATTTCTTTCTTCAGCTTGTATTCTGTAGGGAGTGGGGGGACACAATTAAAAGCTTCACCGGCGGTAACATGTCCTTTCTTTCCAGGAGTAAAATTAATGAATAAAACAAAACAAAAACATTCAGAAATTTATTTTTAAAATATGTATTTATTTATTTTATCGCCACCTAAAGATACCATATTTATAAATATTTAGTATATCGTTGTTTACCGCTCCAAACGATTTCTACATGCCAAACAGTAAAAACACTGATTATTCTTCTTTTTTTGCCTTAATGTTTTAAAAACTAACCTCATATTTTGAGAGTCCTATGGAAGTAATTCAGTGTTTATATATATATATATATATATATATACAAACATCGTTTAGAGAAAAAATGAAAAATAGTATAAAGCTTCTTTTATGCGACATCAGCACGTGGATATTCATGGCTCTCCACAATTTCCTGTTTTTTACCCAAAGAAACTTTTTTGCGGCAGTGCCTTTTTTACCATCTCTCTTTGTCGTTGTTCTGTCATCTGTTCACTCAAACTTGCTGTGTTTCCCTGCTGCTGCTTCACTTACTTTCAATAAGCCCCGTGAGTGTTAGATTCTTCAAGCCCCTTTTCCTCATTATTATGTCCGAGAAAATTTCTGCTTTCTCACAACTATTATTTTAGAACTTTCCTTGTAATTCTTAACTTCATTAAAACTCCCCTATTTCTTACATGTTCTGTCTATGGTATTCATATGGTGGTAGTGGAGGTCATCTTATCACAAGATCTTGTCCTACCATATATCTGTATGGCCTTGTGTGGATCTATTACGCACAAACATAGATACATACAAAAATACAAGTCACATACATCGCCAAGCATTCATTGGTTAATAAATCACTACTACATTAGGCAATTTACAAATTGCAGTAATGCGACAATTTTGTAATCACTCTATTTTTAAGTAGTCAATTTTGTGCACTTTTGGGAGAAGCGGATCACAGAAGCTTTCTTAAGTCTCCCAAAAGCTTGCTCGCTGATTGGTCGATGCCAACCAATCAGATCATTTGCACGTGAAGAATAATTTTTCCTGTGCAACGATTTGGTGCCTATAGTCGCTTATTTAAGCCAAGATGAGTGAGAATTCAACTGCCAAACGAATCCATGACAGTTGAAACCATGCACCAACTTTCTCACTTACACACACACCTCTCACATACTGAACATACCTTGTACACACTCACATAAACTCTTCTTACACAGCAATATCTTTCAAGAACAATCTTTACGAAAGACTCTCATGAACATTCTTCCAGTGAACTTTGAACCAAATGACTATTTCTCATTGAACACTAAAATAACAGTTGAAGAGAGACAACTCTTGGTTAATTCATGCTTTCTTTCACATCGGTATTTGATATTGTACATGTTGTTAAATACATATTTTATGTGTAACAATGATTTTGGGTTATCCTTTTTGCGTGAACCTTGTTTCCTAATCTAAAGGTAAATTAATGTGGTGAAGTCCACCACAGCCTTGTGTAAGGATTGTTAGAAAATGGACAAAGTGTTAGTGTGTAAAAAAAAAAAAAAAAAACACTATAACATATATATATATATATATATATATATATATATATATATATATATATATATCTCATTCAGTTATACGCCATGTGTGACACCCCATTGGTGATCTTGTATCTTTCGATACATGACTGACGAGGCAGATTTTTTTTTCGCAGTAGGTTGCCATTTCTTTCTGTGGTAGACCAGTTGCCATCTAAGGCTATAGAACCTGGTCTGTCCTGCTATTTAGCCATAGCTGGTGGAGAGAAGAACAGGATTCATACCTTTCCCAAGGCTATTAACAAGTAAGTGGTTGTAAGTGATCTGGAATTGCAAAGGAAATATTTGTCGCAGATTACTTCCACAATGAAGAGAATAAATCACTAAGTTCAGACTTGAACATCAGTAGCAGAAAGAAATGCCAAAAACTCGATTTGCAGGTACTATCTCACAATGCATGCAACCAGTCAGAAAAATAACTCACTCTCCAACAAACACGGTAGCCAAAATACCCAAATTTTCTCTTGATATGAGAACACCAACTGTTTTTATCGGCTGAGCATTTTTTCCATTCGTCGACAGCTGGGAGAGGACGCTCAATTTTTGCATATCAAAATAGTTTTATGGTGACTCCTATGATGGACTTGTTTTTTAATTTAAATATTCCATCTTCAGCATGTTATGCGGAATACATGCCCTTTTTTGGGGTAAGTAATTTTCTTTTTCACCACATTTTCCGTCGTAGGATACACGCGACGCGCTGTCACTTGGTTTGACGAGGTAAGTCACCATTTTCTTCGCTATAGTGGTGAATGTAATTGTAATGGATTTGACTGGAATTCAAACTGAGCTCTCTGGTTTCTCAATGCCAGCCGCTATCCATCACTCCACTGTGCCTCAAGAGTTCAGATGAAAAAGTCCTGGTACATATGAGAGAGAGAGAAAATCCAGGAGAAAGTATGTATACATTCAAATGTAGCAGTCACCTTGCTTAAAGTGGGGAGAAGGAAGTTGATATATGTATGTGTGTAGTAGGAGGTAGGTATATTTTATGAGTCTATACAAGACTGCATGTCACGCATGTGTTGTATTTCAATTCTGGGTATGTTACAAAGATCGCAGCATTGGAGAATTTATCAAAATAATTGATTCTAATTTAGTTAGTTTCTGCATCTTGTTAAACAGAGATCCACTTTGAAACTACCACTTCATTTCTGATTGGTTCACAATCAGTGGCCTTATATCCTAGTTGGGAACTGATTCACTTGATGTTTGTATTGAATGAATGGGTTATGATTGCATTTGACTAGGATAGTTACTGAGGACCAGCCTTCTCCCACCATTCTTTTTATGCCCTTCTGAGCTTGAAACAAGTCCACTTGTCAACGCATACATCTGGTAATGTAAATGTAAATTGAAATGCTGTACAACCTTAAATTTTTTTTTCTATGGAAATTATATTTCAGTTTTTACTTAGAGGGAGAAAGAATTGAAATAAAATTGAATTTTGGACACTGTTTTTCATTTTATTTCTTGTTAATTCAGATGCTTCATTTTTCATATCAAAAGGAATAGGTACCTCCAAACATTTGTTAAAAAAACAGGATACATGCTGAAAAAAAAGCAGAAACTGTAATAAAAAAAAAAAAATTTATTGTCACAATTTTTATTATTAAGAAAGATGAAGGGATTTTTCATCTAAAATATATATATGTGCATGTACTTCGGCAGCATTTTTTCATTGATGCATGTTTCATTAAATAATATAGACAAGTGTTGTCTATTTATTTTATGTAAATTCTTTTCATATCGACTGATAAGCTTAATAACATTATCATTATATGCACAAGTTTGTCGTTGCTTGGAAATCTTCCATGCAAACAGAAACAGACTATCATCACTGATTTGTCAGTGTATTGCTTAATATATTGTAATGTAATTGTCATCTTTGATAATGGCTTATGTAAGCCGAAAGCTAAGATAGGATTAAAAAATATGTATCAATATTGTGATTTTCTTTCTTCGCTTAATGATAATGTTATTAATCTTATCAGACAATATGAAAAGAATTTACATAAAATAAATAGACAGCACTTGTCTATATTATTTAATGAAACATGCATCAATATATATATATATATATATATATATATATATATATGACATTGACCATAAAGAATTAGGTATCATTCTAACCAAAGAGATTATTACTTTATAATCAAATTTGTTATCAATCTGAACACACTTTTTCTATAGAGTTTTCTAATTTCACTTTACATACCAATAGGAAATAGCTAACCACAATCATAGAAATAATATATTAAAATATCTAATTAGGTATTTTAAAATATTGTTTCTATGATTGATTTGTGTTGATAGTCTATGATTAAACCTTGTGTATTTTTACTGAAAATCGTCACCGGGATGTTTTTCACAATTTTTAAAATTTTGGCTAATGTTTAAGCTTCATGCACACAAAAAAATGGTGTATCAAAAGAACAGTAATTCCCTTGACACTGCTATTACTGGATACACTTTTGACTCCCTCAGCAATGTTTATTTACAAGATTATAAAAATATGTAAACCAACTACAATTCAATATTATTTATCTTTTATAAAGAAATAAATTGGAAAAGAAATTTTTTCATTCAAAAATTTATTAAAAAATTACAAAATTATCAAAATAAGAGGAAGAAATACTCTCAACGTATTTAGTGAATTTCTGTGGCAAAATCAAATGAAAGAAATGCTCGGAAAATGCATTTTTTTCAAAATTTATAATTAGTTACTGATTATGTTTATTTAAATTATCTTTTTTGCAGAAATTTTTATAAATTTTACCATTCTGATACATTTCTTAATTTTTAAACATTTTAAATAATTTAATAAATTTGTTTTTTTTTCTTGGATATTTCTGAGATGGCTTGATTCAATACAATTTTTTTTAATATTTTCTTTTTGCTTTCTCTATGTACTTATTAAATTCTTTAAATGTCATCAATTATTTAAAAAAATTGTTAAAAATATAATAATGCACCAATCATTTTTCGAGTTTTTTAATAATTTTACAATAAGTGATTTTCTACTCATAACTTTTGGATTATTAATAATATATAATAATATACAAAATATTAAAAAAAATTATCTCAATTGCTAAAGTTTGAAGATAAAATTCAGCCAGCTTTATAATTATGCACTGCATTTCCTTTGTTGTTACTATAAAAACTAATATGACCGAAACAACACAAGTTAAGAATTTTTGTGGGGGTAGGGGTCACTTCAATTAACAAAATCACTTCACATTTTGGAACTGTATTTAAAAGAGTGGCAAGAACAAGAACTTGGGTTATAATTCTGACATTAGATTGAATTGTGAAAGGTTATAAAAAAAACAAAAAAAAAATAGGTTATCTCCCTTTGGTAGATAATGCCTGCTGATATCGAGATGAGTCCATTTATCTGATAATAATGGGTAAGACCCAAAATGAGGTGCCAAATTAGAGAGTCTGAGATGACCATGAATGGAATGTATGCATTTTCAGCCTACTTCAAAAACAGGTGATGCTAGTCACAGGTAAACCTGAATAATGCATGGAAAAACAGTTGTCAGAAGAAGAATGAACAAAATCAGATAAATGTTCAATCTCATACAGATACATGTATTTGGATTTCATCCCCAATGTCTTGACTTTTAACTGCTAAAAGAATATATTTTTAGCAATCTTCTATTTTCATTCTCATTGTATAATGTATTTCTTATATAAAATGTTTTTTTAAACTGTTCAGTTGTCTCATCTTTGTCTGTCAGCCACATCTCAATTTGTTGAGTTGCTAAATTTTCTACAAGTTTTGTTATAAAAACTAATATGGCTGAAATGAAGCAAATTAACATTTTTTTTTTTTTAGGATGGAGTCACTTTAATTAACAAAATCACTTCACATTTTGGAAAAGTCTGAGTGAAATATAAGCAATAAATCAAGTTGTGATGATGATGATGATCATCACACACACATACATACATACATACATACATACACGAATTCAAATTATACAACCACAAGCATTCATTGGATAATAAATCAACACTATTGTGTAATGTGACAATTTTATAATCGCTATATTTTCATGTAGTTGGTTTTGTGCACTTTTGGGAGAATCGGATCCCAGAAGTTTTTCTTGAGTCTCCCCAAAGCTTGCTCGCTGATTAATCAATGCCAACCAATCAGATTGTCTGCATGTGAAGAGTGATTCTTCCCGCGCAGCACTTTCGGAGCTGATGATCACCTATATAAGCAAAGAAAACTCTTAGTAAACCAGTGAGATCTCAGCTGCCACAGGAATCCACAACAGTTGAAACCATACGCCAATCTTCTCACTCACACCACCACTCACATGCTGAATATTCCCTATATTCACATAATCTTTTTTCTTACACAGCAAAACTATTGAAAACATTTATTACCAGAAACTATTACAACCTTATTGCTTTCAGTGAACTTTGGAACAATTGATAGTTAAAGAGAGACAACTCTTATTTTACTCAATGCATGCTTTTCTTTCATATCCTTGTTTGTACATCTTGTTAAGTACAAATCTTATGTGTAATGATGTCTTTGGCTTATCCTCTTTTTCTTCACGTCAGTTTGGTTTCCTAATCTAACTTAAATAAATATGATGAAGGCTGCCACAAAGTAATATTATTGATTTTTCTTTTTGTTTTAGGTACTGGAAGTGGATCATTGTCTCATGCCTTTCTACGAACAATTATGCCAACAGGTCACTTGTACACATTTGAATTTCATGAACAGAGAGCACAGATTGCCCAAAAGGAATTTGAACAACATGGATTATCTGAATGTGTGACAGCAGTGTGTCGAGATGTCTCTAAAGATGGCTTTGGTGTAGATGATGAAATAGCAGATGCTGTTTTTTTGGATATGCCCTGTCCTTGGTCAGCCATTCCTTTTGCAAAGAAAGCCCTAAAAAAACAAGGTAATGGGTGGTTTCTAAATGTTACTGGTTTCACAAGAATTGAAATGACTTACACATGCATTGCATTCAAGAACTGGATACCCAGCAAATACAGGCAATTAAATAAAAAATGATTAGCAGAGAAAATATGTTAAATAACAAAAGAGTTTAAAGTATGACTGTATTTAGATATTCTTGATAAAATCCAAAGAATAATCTGCAATCTTATCAGTCTTGACCTGACATCTTGGTTTCAATCACTTTTCTACTGTCATAACATGGCTTCCCTTTTCTATAAACATTTTCATGGCAATTGTTCTGATGAGCTTCCCTTTTTCATACTTTGTCTTCATGAATTTCAGCTCAGTACTAGATTGGCCAGCTATATTTCATCATTTTTACTGTTGAAATTGCTAGATGTAAGTTCTATGCTAAGAGTTTCTTCTCCCACACTTTTCACTTGTGGAGCTCTCTTGCGGCTTCTTGCTTTGACCTTCAAAACTTTAAATACAGTGTTATTTTCTGTCTTCTTAATTCCTGTTCATTTATTGTTCTCTCACCTTAATAGTTATTTTTGTTTTTTGTTCTTCATGTTCTCTAAAACTAAGTAACCTCTTGTGTCTTAGTGGCTGTACTGCCTTGTTTGGGGTGAAATAACTAAAAAAAAAATTAATATTCTAGCCAGAATTTGTTCTAAATTGTGTTTGGTTTTATTGAGAAATGGTATTTATTACTTTTATGTACCCTTCATGTTTTTATGGTTTAAATAAAAACTAGTGTACCCATGGTGTCAAAAATGATGGCAATTGCTAGAAAGTTTTAATAGTGAGATGTGATGAAACAAAAATCTCGAAGCAATGTATTTAGATTCATTAAAGCAGAGACAAAGAGTTGACAACTAAAATATAGGCCAAGGAACCATTTAATTAATCTGTTCCTTCATGTTAAAAAATTATGTTTAATATAACAGTAAAATGGAAATATCTCTCGGAAGAAAAAGATTAGCAACAATATGACAACAACAGCGACAGCAAAGCCTATTTCAAGAACAGATTGAAGCAAGAGGATCACTTAACAGACAAAGGTATCAGAGTGCTTCACATGAAAGGCTTGAACAAATAAAACTGCAATCTAAGAAATGTAAGAGTAAAGGACTGATTAATTGGTTCATTTTGCTCAGGAAATAATTTTGTCTAAATGCAGATAAAGATTTTATTAAATATTTAATAGCATATTAAAATGACTAAAGGAAGTAATAACTCATAAATTTACTAAAGTTTTACCTCCCTTACAACTACAGATGGGACAGGAAATATATAAAGATATATTGATAATTATTATAGGGTTTGATAATGTTTTTACTTTTGCACCCTCCCGCTTCTCTTACTATAAAACACATTTTTCTGAATCCTTGTTACATTTCTATCATCCATGTAACAATGTTGTCCATTATTTTACCAACCACTGACATTTTTTGCTGATTACTTTATAATGTGGTTTTGTACTAACATTGCCATGGTCTAACTACTCACCCATCTTGTGTATTGAAGATAAACTATATCCAACAGCAAGACCACTGATCTGGAGGTTTTGAGAAGCATGGAACTACATCTTAATTGCTACTGTTCCCAGGTCCACCCTGATCCAGGGTGGTACCACCTGTTACAGTCCCAGCTATAGGCAAATAGTGACCCCCCCCCAAAAAAAAACAAACAAACTGGGGACAAAACCTGAAAATATAAAATACATTACAAAAAATTACCATTAATTGTTCAATTTTGTGATGACCTTTTTTTTTTTTTAACTAATACAAAATGTCTTAGGAAAACCCAATTTTGTTATTTCTTCATAAATAAGTGCATATTGTATTTGTGAACTAGAAATCGGGCATGATGTTGAAAATTGTGAAATTTATCTGTTCTTTCCTGAGCTTTTCTTTTTTTGTTTGTCTACAGGTGGCCGAATCTGTACGTTTTCTCCCTGTATAGAGCAAGTTCAGAAAACACATGAGGTCCTAAAAGAAAATGGATTTGAAGATTGTTCCACTGTTGAGTGCCTGGTGAGAAATTTTGATATACGAACAGTGAACATTGCAGTTCCCTGCCTCGGAGATGAAGACGTGGTGTCAGAGGAAAATCCACAGGCAACAAGCCAAGACCAAGATGCTCATCCTAATGAGGCTTCTGGAGAGCCGATTGACAAAAATGAACCAGAGACTAAGAAAACAGAAATAAAAAAAGAAGAAAATAGTGGTGCTTCTAAATTTTTTAGTTATAATTTGGTGGGTCGTAAAACAGAAGAGAACTTTCAGTTTAAATCAGGAATCCCCCCAACTACAATGCCAGGTCACACCGGCTATTTAACAATTGCTGCTTTATATCTTTAAACTTTCATTTTGAAAATAAATTTTTTTTCTTTTAAGTTTTTCTCAAATTTGTTATTTTCACAAATACAACCAAATAAATCTTTGACTAATTTTTATTTTCAAATTCATTTTTCAGACTTTATTTTGGAAGATCAAAATATCTGAAGATTTGAAACTTACATTTTTTTTTTTTTTTAACTATATATCTGACTCATTTGCTTATGGTAATTTTCTGTGAAATTTGTTAAGGTCCCTGTACAATTATTATAGTGAAATGGTGGTATTAGCAGTTTCCATACAAGGACACAGCAGTTGTAGCATGTGTACAGAAATTAGTAACCAAAGTTACATCTCTTGATATGGGACATTTCCTGAATGAGATTCTGATGTGATGTGAAATATAAAAAATAAAAATAAAAAATGATAGCTCATTGCAAGATGCAAGACGCTGTAAATACTTTTGAACATGGCAACTTGGGATAAAAAAAACTGTCAAATGGATCTCCTTGTCTTTCATACTGAAACATCCCATGAAGAAATATTACAGCAACCAAAAATCTTTCTCTTAAAATATTTTTTTAGGAAAACAAGTTTCTGAAGTCAGTAGCTTTTATCACTCATTCCAGTATTTAGGATGAGTGCTATTTTCATTATATTTTTCTGGCAATGTTGAAAAAGTATTTCAAGTCCATTAACCATTTACTCAGTTTGTCTCTAGTTGAAAAACCTTAAACTGGATAATAAAGTTTGTTGCTTACGTGGCTATTACATGAAACTCTGACACCCAGCAGTTTTATCCTATCCAGCAGCATGTGCCTTGTATCTGCGCAAACTTAATTTTGTTCATTTTAAAACCTTTTTTTGTTGTGACTTTTACAGATAAGCAATATTTTAATTGCCTTTTTAGTTTTGTTATTCAAATAAAACCATTTTCTGCACTGAAATTGGTAATGACCTTTGCATTTCAATCACAGCTGGAAAGTAAAGACCTTTCTAATAGTATATTTTGAAAATTTAAGTTATAATTTTATATATAATTTTTAATTTTGTTTGTAAAAAAAAAAGAAATTTAATAGTTCTTTTCTAGGCAGTTTAAAAATATACTAACCTTGTTAGTAATATAAAGTTTGGACATTTAAATTTCATAAGTTGTTTTACTTTGTAGAACCTAAGTGACTTAGATGCTTCATAGAAACGTCATTTTCAGCTATACAATTTGAATGTATGCACTTGCATGTCTGAACATCTACCTACAAATCTGAGTGTCAATGCACTTCATCCCTTTTTATTCTTAGAAAAATACTTTTTGATGGAATCAAATAGCTTTTCAAAAATCAGTCACACACTAGCTTAGCCATGCCATCAAAAATATAACAGTATATTTAAGTCCTTACTATTATTAAGTTTTCACATGTCAGTTTTATTTATTTATTCTAGTTATATATAAATTAAACACTTAATTCACCACCTAACGTTAACTGTAAAATTTAAGTAAAAATTTAAATATGTATCAATATGGATGTGTGTGAAGATATGTATATGTAAGTATTTTTATATGTATATGCATATATACCAGTGTGCATCTATACATGTGTATGTGGTTATATGTGTAATTGCACATATACATGAATGTGTGCATATGTTTTTTACGTAAATATGTATGTGGTGTATATATGAAAAAACAGTAATTTTTTTACTATTACCTTCAAATCTTACTCCATCTTGAGTTAAAACCTAAACTTTAATTAAGAAATATTATCCATCTAAAAATAGCTACAAATTAAATTCTTGAATTCGACTCTAACTGATAAAGATTTTACCTTAACAGTCATTCACAATACTAAAATATTACTATTAGTAAATTTTTATTTTTTTATTATTGTTGTTTATTAATATAGTATTCAACTTATATTAAATCCCTAATTTAATTGTGGAGAAGCATCAAATTTATTTTCTTTGTCGAATTTTTAAACATTTAAATTACTATCAAACGTTAAAATCTGTTTTTATTTAAATTGCTATACTACCTGTCTTCTTCCTCCAAAAACCCTAAGTACATCTCTTATCTCTTTACTTCCCCCTTTTTCTCTTTTTTTTCTCCTTTTCCTTTTCCCATATCATTTCTGTTGAGTTCACCAATTGAATAGGTCAATGTCTGATCCTTACCTCCTCCTTCCTCAATATTAAGTATTATAAAAAGAAATATAAAAATAAATTTTAAAACTCTTCCTTCCCTCTCTAAACTCGACCATGTCTCTCATACAATCCCTCACCACCCTCTATGTCAACTTATTTAAGCTTAATACTGCCCGTCAAAAGTGTAAATTTTATTTTCATTTTTCGTTTCATCTTTTGAAAGTGAAGATCTAGAGAAGGATAAAATTCTCTGGTGAAATAAATTATTACAATGGAGCCTTAAAGTGGTCTGTTTTTCTTTAAATTAAATAATATATATATATATATATATATATAATTATAATTATTTTTTATAAAAATATGATTCCTTCGCTACATAATAGTTCTCATGTTTTGAAAACAAGAGCAAAAAGCTTCAATATAATTATTAGAATTAAATTGAATTTAAAGTATCAAGCTCTGTTTCATCTTCAAGCAAAATTTTTGTGAATAACATGACCACACAATTTATATTTGACATAAAATACCACAAAATATGAAATACAAGAAGGAACAAAATGGTCTTAAAAACATAACATTTGTATTTATTTGTGTATACTGATGTACATGCTTGGAAGTTAAAGATCTGTTGGTGTTATGTCCCTTAGACTGAATATTTTTATCTGAATTCACAAAAGTTGAATTAGTTACAAAGCTGTAGTTTTAGAAGAATGTTTCAAAGAGAAAGGTTCTTGTTGCTTGTTTGGAAATGTTCTGTATGTTTGTAATGTAGTTTGGAAAAGTTTGTGCATGTGTGAGTATGCTTTTAACATCTGACCATCCATGGTCAAGACGAGAATCCTTTTGGGACTACATCTTGCAGCAAGAAGAGAGAATGAGCGAACTCGTGTCTGCTATTTATAGATAATGTATTCACATGACAGGATCACAGTAAATTGGCGGGAAAACTTGGCTTGGTGACGTGCTGGAAAAATATTTGTACATGGGTGGATTGCAACGCCCACTTGTGTGTTTATTGACCAATTAGAAGCTGATATTTCCTGAAAATATTTACTAAGCTGAGTAGGCTCTCTGATCCACTTTTTTGCACAAAATTGTACAAAATTAGACATTGATAAGAAAGTGGTCACAGGATGCTAAAAATGCAATGGAGGAGAGAAGGCAACTACAACCGCAGCATCTACTCCGACAGGGACCCCCCACCACCACCACCACTTCTCTACCAATTCCTCCGGAAGAATATGGAAGGAAAGTAAACAGAGTAGTGAAGTTCTATGATAAAAACTTTTGTTCTGAATGCCAAGCATCAGCATGCTGTTTCAAAATTTTTGGCGGAGTGAATTGCATCATAGAGCTCTCTTCCTTACAGATGGTGCTCAGCTGACCCTACTATACTGTGCAGTTGACAAAATAAAAATAAAAATAAAAAAAACAACGTGCATACGCGAAATTAAAAATATAAAATAGCGACAATTTACTCATCGCACCCTGTATAATAGAGGATTATATTTTCCAAACTCAAGAGAGACTCAGTCTATATTGCTGAGATGAGGTATTGTAATTATTTACACTATTGTCCCCATCTTTGTTGCCATATCCACGACATTTCGGTCGTTGTACACTTTGGCCTTCTTCAAGAGATTGGAATTTTGAAGCAAACCCTTTCGTACACCGAGGAAGATTGTTCTCGTTCCAGATATTTGTTTCAGTTTCAGTTATTTCCCTTTAACTCAACTCTCCAAGCAAGTTTTTGTTCGTGTCTGCTGTAGTCAGGTATTGAACTCACGACTCTTTGAATCAAGTCACTGGATTACTTCAACCAACACTTTTTTTTTATCCATATGAACTATCTGCCCCTTTGGAATTTCGTTATGAACCTTAAGTCAATGGTAAGCCTTGAAGCATTAAGGGCAGAGATGATTTCACATCATGTGTAACGCGCGACCCACAATTTTTCACTTATAAAAAAAAAATGATTTAAAAACCTTAGTTATCGTGAATTAGTGGCGATACCTACAGTATTTTTTTTCATCATCATACCCTTGTTCGCTATGGAGAAAAGATCGACAAGGAAATATACTGCTAAATTTAAGCTACAAGTTGTAGCCGAAGCTGAAAAAACAAACAATGTTCAAGCTGCTAAGCTGTTTGACATCGGCGAAAGCTGTGTCCGAAGCTGGAGAAAACAAAAAGAAAAATTAGTGGTAACTCCTTCTTATAAATGTGCAAACCGCGGATCTAAATGTAAATGGCCACATTTAGAAGATAAAGTAGCAAAGTGGGTGTCCGAAAAGCGAGAAAATGGTTTTATTATAACACGATCTAATATAAGACTTTATGCAATTCGAGAAGCAAGAAAAATGGACATTTTTGAGTTTATAGCAAGTGCAGGATGGTGTACTCGGTTTATGAAAAGGCATAACTTCGTCCGAAGAAGAAAAACCAAAATTGCACAAAAAAGCTACCTAAAAAATTGGAAGAAAAAATCAATAATTTCTTCAGCTTTGTAATCAAGCATCGCAAAAAGCAAATGACTATGAAGAATTATCGTGCATCGGCAACAACATGGATGACTCTCCCCTAATTTCGATATGCCATTAAATTTAAGTATTTGACCTTAATTCAAAAGCCTTACTTAACGAAACGGACACGGAGAGCGACTTTGAAGGATTTTTTAGTTTATTCATAATTTTTTTTTTTTTTACTTTAATAAATGTTTATTTACCTTTGTATGCTAAAATAAAAATAATAGGTAACTTAACTATTAAAATAATAATTGTTTCTTGTAGCAAGTAACAACAAAATTCCATTTTTTTAGTCCTTCGGGATTACCATAATCAGCTGATTTGGAGAGCAATCTCAACTAGCTAAAATAAAAAAAAAACATCTTAGAAACGTAAACAATGGAAAGATGCCTGTTCGCTATGTTTGCATGTGACTATTACATGCACTATTATTGGATAAGTAAAATATCAGTCTTAAAGCATGTTTATTTTAAATACAGCTGTACTTTTTTTCTTTTTTTTTTTTTAACTACAGTCGTAAATGGATATATGGTTTTTTAGTCAATGGTGTAGCCAGAGCCATCATACGTTTTAATTTTATATCTCGTGTATGATGCGACCCCCCCTTAAAATTAGCTTCAAAAGTCGCATGATACGGTAATTTGAAGGCCAATATTTAAGTAGTTAATCTTGAGCTTCCTTAAAAACTGTTTAAATCACGAATTTCACCTCTTGTTGAAGTTTGAATTTTTTGATTTTGTTCAATATCTAAAATCTAAATTCTAGTGCAACTACATATGACTAACTTTGCTGGAGATTTGCTTATTCTAACTAAAAAAATATGGATGCTCAGTTTGACTAATTCAGTTTCGTTTTACTCTGTTATAAATCCATTAATTCAACTCAACACAAAAATTTATTTGCTTAATTGAACAAATAAACAATTATTGCAGTATAAACATATTCATCAGGAGTCTTAGAGTATAACATTGGAATGTTTATATTCTTGAACTGGAATGAATGATAAAAGTTAAACAAAAAATATTTGACTCCACCCCCTGACCCCCACCCCCGGGCATGTCAAAAGGACGGTTGTTCCACTATTATTACTGTGTACACTTTTTTGACTCCTTCAGCAGTTTATTATTTTAAAAAAATGATGATTAGAATTTTAATAAAACTCAAAATATATGAACGTGGATTTATAAATTTTCTTTATTCTTGAGAGCTGACAACAAAGATATTATATTATTTTAAACATTATTTATTTATTAGAATTGTTTATTTACAAGAAATTTATTTTTTTAGATTATAAAATAAATAGATGTGAACCAACTAGGAATTATTTATTTACGAATAAAGATAAAAAGAAATTTATTCATAAATTTGTAAAAATGTCTGAACAAGAAAAATGAAATAAAAAACATAACCAGTAATTATAAATTTCTTTCATTTGTTCTCACCAGAAAAATTCACTAAAATGGGCACTTCAACATGGTGTAATGATTAGCAAGCTTGTTTTGCTAGAACAATTGCGACTGAGTAGTGAGTTTAGTCATCACTGAGTGCTCCATACCTTTGGCCTTGTGCCACATCTAAGCCAGGCTTACAAAATTATCATAAATTCACTAAAATAGGTTGAGAGTACGCTTCTTACATATTGATAATTGTCTTTTTTTTTTTTATAAATTTCTGAATTTTTCCTTTTCGAATTTATTTCTTTATAAAAGGTAAATTATAAATATCGAATTGTACTAAATTACTTTTATAATCTTTTAAATAAACATTACTGAGGAAGTCAAACAGTAATAGCAGTTTCATGGGAATAACTGTCCTTTTAACACCATTTTTCCAGTTACTAATTTTCTAATAACATCACTCATTGAATATTGCAGAAAATGTTTAAAAAATAAAGAACACAAAGCCAACAGAATCTTTGCTTGTTACCATTTCGCTTGTATTTCATTTTTTTCTTCACCCAAATAAATAAAAAAAAAATTTTATGTACATAAACCATTTTCAGTGTTTTCTTGCGAAAGAGCTGAGCTTTACACTTTCCGAATCCAATTTATACAAACCAATGAGAAAGGAAAAAAAAAATCGATAGAAAAGTAGATCGAGAATAGTGGCTCAACAAAAATAAATGGGAATATGTTCCATATATAAAGTTTAGTCAATTTTTCAAATATAAACCTGGATTGTTTACAAAGTTACAAAATCCACTGAAGTATTAATAGATTCATTTCTTTTGACTCCTGTATTTTTTGCATAAGTAATCTTTAAGAACTGTTTGTTTAAAGTTGGGTGAATTAAAATATACAAACAAAATAAAAAATTATATTCATATATCCCAGCATTATTTACTTGTAAATAATTTAATGTCAATTGAACAAGGGAGTCAAACCAGAGCTACCACAAATTTTGTTAAAAATTGGTACAATTATAGATTTTTCAGATTAATTGGATGACATTTCTACCTGAAAGGTTTCCAGAGATATGGCCCTCTAATCTTTGCAAATAAATTTTAAAAACTGGGGGAATTTTTTTAAGACTAAAAAAAAAAAATAAAATAAAATATGTATATACATATATCTCTAAAAAGCTGAATTATATACAAGTTTTGAGTCTTCAGGCAAATTATGTTTTGTTTTTTTTAACCTTCAAGGTCAAATAAAATAGTTGAACTTTGTAGCTCATTTGACAACTGGTCTAGCCTTTGGCATTGTAGAAAAATTCACGGTGGAGAAAGAATAGAAATGTAGGTTGTAAGAATTTTAATGAATGAAGGTGTAATATCTATTTTTATTATTTACCTTTTTATTATTATTTTTATCTAATTTAACCTAAAGTAATCAGTTAAAGTGAGATAACCCAGTCAAAAATTTCATTCCTTTTAATTAACTTGAGGTTGTAGATATTATATCTTTGCAACCCAAAATACCCTTTTGTTCTCCATTATTTTTTTTCTTTTTACATATCATCCCAAAGTTCAGAAGAGTTTCCAATTTATTTTTTTTTTTAATTGCTTGATAAGTCAAATGAGTTACAAAACATTAAGTACAACTTTATTTCACAGCTGAAGTAAAATTATATATATATATATATATATATATATATATATATATATATATATATATATACACAAATTCAAGACCTAGTTAAGGACTTTAAAATGGTATATAATTCAGCTACATATTACGGAATCACAAAATGGGAGATATTCTTAAACTTGTCATTACCATCTTTTTGCAAATTTCAGAGGGCCATATCTCTGGTGCTCTTTGAGGTAGAAATGTCTGACAGGTGTCATTATCTCAAAATAGATCTATAATAATAATAGTGCTAATTTGAAACAAGATCCATGATAGTGATGCCATTTGAACGTGGAATGACCTTGTCCTGTAATGGATTTTATTAATACAATGTGCCTCATTATGAAGTTTAAGTAGCACTAGTTGCCATTTAGATTTTCTCTTTTCAAGATCATTCAAACTTGAGTAAATCATTTATAGCTAAATTAGATAATCCAAGAAAAGTAATTTATTTATATAGGAAATTATTTGTATTGACATCAAATATAAAGAAGTTGAATGATTTGAAAAACATTGCAAGATTAAAATGTGTATAGGAAAGAGACATAATGCTTAGAGCATTGGGCATATATTGAAAGGTTCATTCTCTCTGGAAATGAACATTTTTTTTTTTAAATTTACTCTTTATTATATATTCTTTGCTATTCTTGATAAATATTGGCAGTAGATTTGTTTGCTTTTTTTAAAAATTTTTTTTTTTTAATTTTTAAATTTAATTTTACTGCTACTAAATTTATCATCAAATGATGCTATCTTCAACTACCAAATATCATTTTGTTCTAGTGGCATATATTAATTTTAATTAAAAAATCTGACCTGATTAATATCAAATTTATAAAGTTCATAGCCAATATAGTTAAGTGCTGCACTACAAGGATTAGATGCCTGTTGAGGATTCAGATTTTATCAAAATAAAAATGTTTAATAAACTAGTAACTACTTAATGAGTCACTGTTCATGGTCTTCATGGTCAAATTTTAGTATTTGAACATTTTGGTAATTCAGTTTTTGGCCAAGTTGTCTTGGATCAAAATACAAACCAAAGTTAAACAGATTCATTTTCTTTTTGTTTCTTTTCTTTTTTTCAAAGAAAAAAAATTGATTCCACTTAGACCTGAAATAGAAAACAAAAAGTGAATGTTTTTTTTTGGTTTTTTTTTTTTAATATATTCTTCGATTTTTAATATAAAAATATTTTACAGTTGATGACAAAAACTATTTATTCTTCTGATCTTGGGATGACTCCATGTTCATCAGCTTTATCCAACATAGAGCAAAACATTGTCGACTCAATCTGAAAAATGAAAAATATATAAGAATTGGTGAAGATTAAAGAATTTCTTCATTAAAAAAGTTAAATTCAAAGTTGCAAGCACATTTTCACCCTTTCTTCATTTCTTGTTGTTGATATCTATTGACAAACACACACTACAATGCCTTCTAGAGATGAGACTCTTGTGATAAAATAATTATAGAGAATGGTTATGTGAAAGAGACACTTAAACATCCTGCAACAACAAATTCTTTATCAAAAACATCTGTTAAAATTCTTTTAAAGCATTGCTTTTTATCTTCACAGTTGTAAATGTGAGAAAATGTTTAAAGTTTCATAAAAAGATTAGAACAAACATGATGAGCAAGTTATTCTCCTTTGCAAATCATTTATCCATTTTCCTGAAGTCAATTCATTCATCAGGGAGTGAATCAAAACTTCACCAACTATCCAATAATAGTTTCCTCTTGAAATTTAATACTTATGTATATTACAGCAATACTAAAGTTAAACCTACTGACAAATGAATCAACTTTTGTTTAAAGGTTTTTCATGATGGATTGTAAGTGAGCTATATTATCTACAAATATATACCAGATTCATTAAGTATAATAATAATTGATTAAAATACACACATGCTTAAAGTAATGCTTTGTTTATTTTTATTCTTACTGACATTAATTTTAATGCTTTTAAGATTTATCTTTTTGGAACTTATCAAACAAAATATAAAATATCTGCATAATATTTTCATTGACTTATTAAATATTTTCTTTTTAACACCAACATTTAACATTATCTTCATCTTGTGGACCATGATCAGTTGAAGCTCAATACTTTTTAGATTAAAACAAAATCAGCTCCATTTTAGTTAAATTTGCTTTGCATAGAGTTTAAATTGTAATAGATTTGTTTTTTCACTGTTTTTATAAAGGTGTTCAGTTACTTTCTAATCATTTATATCACTAACCTTGTTTACTTCTGATAATATGAGAGATATTGGAGATAAATTTAACATTTCTTCTTTTTATTATGTTTTGTTAATGTTTAGTCAAAGTTGTCATTCTAACTTTAAATCATTTTTAATTTCTTGATTTTGTTGATTTGCTTAAAATATTCCTTAACTACTGCTTCCTTAAGGAATATATTTCCCATTAGCTTACACAAACAATTTCACAAGGAATATTTGGACAAAATCTAATTATAAAACTTCATATATATATATATATATATATATATATATATATATGAACAAATATGAAACATTTATAAATCTAACATGTTTCACTTTTATTAAAGCTTCATCAAAGAATGAAGCTTTAACAAAAGTGAAACATGTAAACGTTTCCTATCTGTTCTTTTTCCTATCATTCAGTCAGATTCATATATATATATATATATATATATATATATATATATATATATATATATAGTTTTAAGGTATGGTATATTTATGGGATAAAGTGCTCAATATCAGAGATAAAGCATATGTAAATATAAAAAGTGAACATTGAAGTCAACACTCAGAGGCAACAGCCTGTTTCTATGCAAAATGTAATTGTCAGGCCAGGTTTTCTATGTATATACGCTCTAATCCTGATATTGAACACTTTAACCCATAAATAAAGCATACCTTAAAACTAACTATATATATATATATATATATATATATATTATATATACACACACATAGAAAAACAACAAAAAAAACTATTTATCAATTGTAGTCATAATTAAATTATAATCCTATATTTCATTTCAGGATGTGTCAAATTGTGTTTAAATTTTTTTTCTAGGGTTGATAACTTCTAATCCATGTTTTAATCAAATATTAGGGTAGAAGATGAAGGGTGTTCTTTGGAGAATTTTCTTTTATGAACAATTCAGGGTGGGGGGGAGCTTATAAGTAAAAAAAATATGGCAATATCTCAACCCACAAATAAATGTCAGTCAATTCATTACAAAAAAAAAAAAAATTACAAATTTTCACAAATTGATTTAATTTTTTTTCTCTCACAATTTCTGGTTAGAATTAATAATAATAAAAAAAAAAACAAGAAATATTTTTTACCCCTAAAACATATTCACAAGTCTTTGGTTCCATCAGATACAAGGCAACTGAATGAGATCGATTTAAGTTTTCAACACACCTGAAAGACAAGCAAATAGAATTCTTACACATGGAATTTATATTGAAAATAGTCATCAAATAAACAGTATATATTTTCTAATTCACAAAAAAGAAAAATTAACAGAATTCAGGTTCTATGGATTTCTGACATGCTTATACCCCAAAAGAATAGAAAACATCAAGTTTCAGTAGTTGTTTTTGATAGAATTTATGACAGAATACAATAATACATGAAATATCTAGAAAAAATATTTTTTCAATTTAAAAAAAAAAAAAATGAATGATGTTCTTACTTTAATTTGACTTCCACAACTCTTCGTTTACCATTGGCTTCACATAAGTCCCCATCTGTGTAGAACAGTGAAATGCTTCTGAAAGCAAAAAGAAACAATTTATGATTGTTTGAAAGAAGATAAAAATAACACATCAGTTAATAGTTTGATACAGTATGACTTTGACATGAACATATACAAGATGTTTGGATATTTAAAAATGTAAACCTTACATTCAGGCATAAAATGAAAATTAATTCATTAAAATGAAAACAAAAACTTGAGAAAAAGAGGAACATAAAAACTGACTCAAAATCAATCCCTTAAAATATTCCAAACTAAAAATTATATATATATATATATATATATATATATATATATATTATAATTATTGTTTTAAAAATATGATTCCATCACTAAAATAATAATAGTAAGCTCTACAGGTTGTATTATAGAATATCATTATATAGGATTATTGCTGAAAGAGTTGTAGATAAGAATGGTGAAGTTCAGGCTGTTGCTTTGGATATCTTGAAGGTATTTGACAGGGTTTGGCACACTGGTTTTCTACACAAGTTGAAAAGGTTATGGGAAATTTTCTAAATGTAAAATTTAAAACATTGCAAATTGAGATAAAAAGCTTATAATTTAAAAAGAGGAATTTTTTGATATTCTGTATCAGCTAAAAAATGAATAACAGATTTAACTCACCTTCTTTTGCCAACTGGTTTTGGTTTTTTTAATGGATTAGCTTGAAGCCATTCTAAGTGTTTATCCAATTTCCAATAACCAAGAAAAATAACTGTTCGACCATCAGCATCCTGAAGATAACAAAACTTGATTATGAAACTATTTTGAACAAACAAATAGGTATATAATTATAATCTATGATTAAATTGAAATAATAGACAGAGAACATCAATGGAAAATATGAAAACTTAAGGAATCAGCACATATGCTAGGCTATAAAAATCTCCTAAGCTGGCTGAGCATAGAAATGAATACAATATGCGAACCAGAGAGCTAGAGATAAACAACAATTAACAAAAATTGTATTATGAGCTCTGGTTACTGAGACATTAAGTTTATAATTGATTCATTGATATCCCTATGACCCACTGGATAAAAGGGTTTGTTGAAGTAATCAAGTGACTTGTGAGTTCAATACCCCACATCCTGAATTGACATGGCACATAGGGAGAGATGAAATATAAAATGAAAAAATTCAAATCTTCAACAGGGTTCGTTATTCAAAGATGACTCATCAATCTTTTTGGTAATAATGAAAAATATTTGCCTCTTTGTCAAATCATACTCACATCATGATACTGCTTTGCATAATTTCCATAACAAAACTCGTGTTTCCACCATCCGGCTCCCTGTCAGAAAGAAAAAAGAAACAGAAAAGGTTGTTGAGAAAAGAAATTGATAACAGCAGATAGATAATGACAAAACTCAAAACAATGTTTTAATCAAAATATTTATTTTTAAAATCATTAAATGTAATCATGTACATATATTTTTATTTCAATCACAAAGATAAATAGAAATTATTAAACAAATTTCAATTATCAATGGACATGTAACCCTGCAGATAAAAATGTTAATTTACAACAAACACACACAAGTCAAAAAAAATTCTGATTAGTAACATGTGACAAAAATGACAGTGTGCAAAAAGTCAGGGCTAGAGATATACAAGGAGGAAAGCTGGCCTAAAGGACTTCATTTTGATGTGCTGAATATTGCTGTTAGGGTTAAGAAGAAAGATCTGAGTAACTTTGATAAAGGCCAAAATTATTGTGACTAAAAGACCAGATCAAAGCATTTCTGAAACTGAATTTATTTAGGTTTCAAAAAGAATCAATTCATATTTAGATATATTTCTCTATGCAGAATTCAAACAATAAAGGCTGTTTCATCAAATAAATACATTTATTTTTGATAAACTACGTAATGATTAATGTTCTTTGTTGTAAAAACACAATTAAGTGTGAAAAGTTTATTGACAATGACAAAAATGTCAAATAGCCAGTGACATGTGTAGCAATCAATTTACCTTAGTATTGTAGAATAAATGGATGAGTATAGAAGGTAGAATCCAAAGTTATTAGCCTGCTACAAGGTTTGTTTTTTTTTTTTTTTTTTAAATCTATTGAAAGCATAGAACACCCAAAGATAATCAACTGACTACTGATTATCGTAACTGATTTGGGCTGGAAGAATTTGATGGCTTAAAAAAAAAAATGCTGAATGCCGCGAAGAATAATTTGTTAATTCAAATTCAGATTTGATGAAAAGTATTAATGCAATATCAACTGCATTAATACTTCATTCCAAGTTGATGTTTTTTTTTTAAATTCACTTTTAATTTTTAACTCAATCACATTTGAATGACAAGTTTAGTATTTGTTACAAGTGTTCAGAAAATGTAAAAGTGATCAGAAAAATGTAAAAGTGAAGATTTTTATTTTTTATTTTTTTTAAATCAACTTAAGATCCTCATGTCATACTAACTGTTATAGATTTTGGAATACTCACATTCATTTGCAGTTAAGTGCTATCTCAGTTCCAGTTATTTCCCTTAAGTAACTTTGGTTGAGTTAATCCAATGACTTGACCCAAATAGTTGTGAGTTCAATACCTGGTCAGTAGAGGTCAACAAAAACTTAGAGAGTTGAGTTACTAAAGGGAAAAAACTGAAACTGAGATATCTGGAAGAGGCATGGCACGTGGAACTAGAACAATCTACCCCAGTGGACAAAATAAAGAGTTTGGTTTGACATTCCAATCACCTGAAGAGGGCTGGGGTGTACAATGGCTGAAATGTCATGAATATGACAAAGATGAGGGCAACAGTTTTTACAATGTAAATAAAGCAAAATAGTTTAATAGTCATTAAAAGAACGAATACACAAATTTATCACTTACTCCTTTCAAGCAATCAGTCCCACTCAAAAAGCCACGGATTGTCTGTTCATCAGTTGCTTGACCCAATGCTCCATTCCCAAGGACAACAGCTATTTTGGCTTTATATTGGTCAGTGTACATATCAGACTTTCTATGCAGTCTTCGTTTGTCATGTAAATTAATCTTAAAGAGACTGGATTTCTCAAAAACCTGTAAATACAAACAAAACAATTTTATTCTTTTTCACCTTATTGAAAAGTTCTCAGCCTAACCAAGAAACTTTGAAACAAAAAAAACTTTTCTTCATCTCCTCATACAAAGATTTACATGATTTCTTACTGAATATTCCCCCAAAAAGAAAAAAAAAAAGTTTGATTTCTTAAATTTTTAGAATCAAGATAAAAATTTTAACTTCCAATTTGAGTTAATTTTATTTAATGAAAAAAACAAAATACAAAAGATTTTGGTCAAGATTATATGTACATAAATAATGAAACCAAACCATGTTTTTTTTTCACTTGACATTTTTAGAATTTATTAACAGATGAACTTGATTGAATTATATGTGTTATATAACATTTTACATGCATAGATAATTGTATCTGAAGCTACTAAATTTAACATGGAAACCCTCTCATGGAGCACATCAGTTATTCATGAATTTCAATGTTATTCTATTCAAAAACTAATGTAAAATTTATGTAGATGTTTTATAAGGTCAATCCAGAAACAATTTGTCAAAAAGCCATTTAACTAAGGTATTTCAAATTCACAATGTAAATAGTGTTCACAATGTTCTGTTCCTTTTTTTTTTTTTTTTTTAAATAAAGTGTGCCACTATGCTGAGGCATTTTTAAGTAAAAGCAAATATTTATTTGATTGTTTAAAAGTTGCCATTTGATAAAATTATTTTGATTTTAAACATTAGAAGTTCATTTTATTATCAAAAAAGCAAATTCAGGAGAATCAAACACAATTTATATTCAGAAAATAGTAGGGTTTTTTACAGGTTGGAAGTCAAGCAGTTACAAGCCAAATTTTCTATAAGGCAACAGAAGAAAAAATAGCTTGAGGAATGCAAGATGTATTGGAAGATCAAAGAGTAAAGAGATGCAATTAATTAAAATTTGTCTTATGGCCATGTCACATTGAAACACTGGTTCCCCTATGTTCACTGGAGTTAAGCAATGTCAAGCATGGTCAGTACGTAGATGGGTGAATTTATTATATGTGTAAATACCCTTGGGAAAGGTATGAATCCATCTTTTCTTCCCCTAGATAGGAGTTAATTAGTAAGACTTGTATCACTACGTCATTATCACCCCACCAAAAATTCTTACAATTTAAAAATATTTTCTGGCTTTAAATAACCTGCAAAAGGTTGATAAGCTGTAGAAAATGAATCACTCAATAATTGGAATTTGTTTAAAATAAAAAACAAAACAAGATATATATGATAGGTTAACAAGTGACTTACATTGTTGTCTTCTTCAAATGGAAGGCTGAATCTGTTTTCTTCTGTAAATCGGTCAACATTGACAGGACGATCAGGAGCTCCATCTAATGAATGACAATCTATCTGGCCAACATGAGGATTCTTTGGTCTGAAATTAATGACATCTATATAGACATCAATTCAACAATTTCATTTCAACATTCTCATTTTAGTTTTTATTTCTTTTAATAAGTTGGCATAGGAGTGAAAATAGCCTAGAATAAAATAATTATAATCATATTTAAAAATTTGGTTTAATTTATTTATATATAAATTTTTAATTGATTTATTACTATTAATTTATGTCATTTAAAATTTATAACAACATAATCAATTTGGATTAATTTACTTTTGTTGCTGTTATATTATAACAAAGATTGTTAGGTATAATACATCAGCATACAACAACTAAATATATTTAAAAGGAGACATTAGATAACATTTAAACTTAATGGATATAATATTCATAAACAATTTCTTGTTCACAAGAGCGAAATACAGACATTAGACAAAATTTCTTTTTGCAGTAAAGTTGATTTCAAAAATGCAAATATTGAAATAGTAAAGACTTTTCAATACATTTCCTTAGTAGTAAAAATAAAAATGTGTTCTATTTTCTCAAATCACTGTCAGATATATATATAAAGTGAAAAGTCATTAATACACATGGCTAATTTTTGTGACCACACAGTTTGTGCGTGTGTGTGTGTGTGTATATATCAAATCAGATCACCAAAGCTACAATTACATTTGAGGAGCCTATGAAATGAGAGAGAGGTATCAAATTGAACACTAAAATAAGAGTTCATGGAGCAGACATTTTGACCACACTGTTGTACAGCTCAGAATCATGGACCTCCTATAGGTCCCATATAAATCAGCTGGATGTTTTCCACAAAAGTTGTCTTCATGTGAGTTGTGGCTATCCTTTTGACAATAGGGTGTCCAATGCTGTTCTTCTCGCAAAATGCAACCTTGGTGGAATTAAGTCCTTCCTGATGAAGTCACAAATTTGCTGGGCTAGTCGTGTTGCAAGGTCCTCATGTGTAACCAGCTTGACAGTGAACAAAGGATTCTTGGACAGCTGTGGCTCAGGTATAAAGACAAGCTAAAGAGTAATCTCTCAGTTGTCAATGTGCTTCATACTAATTTCAAGTGAGTTGCCCTGGATAGAAATAACTGGAGATATTTGTGCCAGAGTGATATCAGAAATTTTGAAATCGGTCGTATTGACCAGTTAAAGAGATGAAAGACAATGGAAAAATGTGTCAGCAAATATTCCTGTTGCCATGTCCTGAGATCCTTGCTGCTGCTGTTGCACAATATATGGACTTGCATGCAGGAATGAAGTGTCTTCTATGACACAGACATGAAAACTGAATGAGGCTGTCAGTTCCTCATATGTCAAAATTGATGGAAAATATATATATATATATATATATATATATATATATATATATATAAATCCAGGTACGATGAGAATGAATAGAGTACAATTCCAACATTCATAACATTTAATTTAAAAGAGGGCTCAATATAGAGTAGAGCAATATTATTTATTTTAGGATATTACACTGACAACATGTCAAAATCACTACACAATTACAGTTGTGTTTTGATGTGTATCAATGCATCTCATCAGGTGATTGTAAATTACTGGCGAGTAAACGATTTATTTAGATTTAAAAGCAAAATACCCCTTTTCAAAAAAAGAAAAAAAAAAAGGGGGGTGGTCATAAAATTTGAGGACTTTATTCTGATCAACCAATCAAATATGATCCATGCTCAATTTAAACTAAGTGAAAAAGCAAAAATGTTAAATTATTTTTTATAAATGGATCATGACCCACAGATTGGCAGCTAACAGCAGCCAGACAAACTTAAAGTGGATACATATGGTTACATAAAATATACAAATCCTCCATTTGATTGATAATCATTTTCCTAAAAGTAACCCTCTTAGTAAAATATTTAACAGAAACACATTAAAACTAAGTTATAGCTGCACCAATAATCTCAATAAGATTATAAAGTTACACAATAATAAAATTTTAAACCAATTTAATAATCTGGATCATAATACACATTCCAAGATAAATATTATTAATGATATTGGCCAATGTAATTGTAGGAATTCTGACCAATGCTCATTGCTAGACAAATGTTTATCTAAATCTCTTGTTTATCTTAGTACTATCTCTACAACAGAGAATCTGACAGTTGAAAAATTTTATATTGGTAGTCCTAAGAATTATTTTAAGACTAGGTGGTATCAACATATCTTGTCCTTCACCAATACTACTTACAGAAATAATACATCACTTTCTAAATATTTTTGGAGTTTAAAAGATGATAAGACTTCTAAGGTGATATGGAAAATTTTTAAAAACGGCAAGGACATGTAGATCTTTATATAAACCCTGTTTTCTATGTTTACATGAAAAACTCGAAATCAAATTTTTTGACAAAATTCATTGAATCAAAGAAGTGAATTAACAGTAAATTGTAAGCATAGTTTAACCTTACAGTTTAGTTAAACTCCTCTGCTCCCACTGGTCCGATCTCAATGATTCATAGCTCATTCAATAGTAGTAGAAAAGTTAGGCGCAGGGAACAATTTTTGTTGAGTTCATATTCAGATTATGCGAGATTAAAAATATATATTATACTAGCCATTATCATTGCTTTCATGGTTGAAGGGGAGTAACACTTATTTTCCTTTTGTATCCAAAATTGAAGCTAGCTTAAAATTTTAAGGACTCTTGGTTTGACCATCATCTCAATAGCTAGGGAGGAGTAGATGTAATAGGCATCAATAAACTACAGAAGAACTCAAAATTGATTGCTACATTTAAGTAGTGAATTAATGTTTAAGCTTAGATTTTAAAAGTTCAACAATAATTCTTCTGCTACCACTTAAAGACGATTTGAAGTACATAGATCCTTATTTTCTGTACAAACAATTATTTTTATTTCATGGGTGACAGAACAGGGGACAATTTATAAGATAAAATTAATATAGTATAAAGATAGGAAAACAGAAATTAGAATTAGTTATACATTCAACATTTGAAGTGTTAGAGAAACATGATACCTAATTAAGTAAAACCTATATTATGGAATCTATATGGATAAATGCGAAATTAGGCACAATTCTCCCATGAATTCTGAGATTAAAAAGCCCCAATTCTACTTTATCATAATTTGGTATTTACTTGACACTCACACAGTCTTGTTGTGACACAAGGTAGGTTTAACGTGGAGCATACACCCAGGTCAGGAACAAAAATTCCCCAAGCCCCTGCAACCATCTGTTGCACTGGCCTCAGTGTGAGCACCAATCTCTCTCTCTCTCTCTCTGGTGTAATAAGAAGGCATGGCCACAGGTAGCTGTTCACCAGGGCTGGCATCTCTCAGTATAATTTTCCTTCAACAGAGTGACCCCAGAGTGCACTTGTCTTGTATAGTGCAGAAAAGTGTTTGAAATTTGCATTTTATGTGGCTTTCAATAAGTTGGCATCTATTTGTAAAATTTTCCTTAACTATAACAAGCCAATTTATGAATGAAATATTCGTTTAAAATTTTTGTTTCAAAGTTTTCAAGTAGTGAATATATCTGACTTTGTGAAGCGATAGTGAGCATGCAAAGACTGCTAGTGTGTGTATTATATATATATATTATTTATTGTCATCCACAGACAGACTGTTTCGCTGTATCACAGCTCATCAGTGTAGCTAGACATCTTGTTGCCTCTAGCTAGGATCAAAAACTGGCTGAATTGGCACCAATCAGAGATTTTACCCCTGTATATATATATATATATATATATATATATATGTGTGTGTGTGTGTGTGTGTATATGTATGTATGTATGCCAAAGATTAAAAAAGGATAAACTTAGTGTAGTATACACTAGAGATTGTGGTAACATCATGCTTTCCAATATCAATACCAATTGTAAAACAAGGGAGTTAATTTATATTTTTAAGCTATACTGAGAGTCTAGCTGAATGAGGTGCAACATGTGTTGGTCCAGAAAATTCATTGGTACCTTATCAATTTACTTAATAATTCTGTCTTGAAGATGAGATTGCTAATACAAGCCTCAAAGCAGAATATGAATCTATGAAAAATAGTTTTATATTTCTATATTCCAAAAAAGGCAACTGAAAACTCAGTGTCATTGAAACTCAGAGAAAGAATTGACTGTTCTTAGAAAGAAATAAGTAAAACATTTACTTGAAATCTGGATGTCCACAGAGAACAGAAGTAAGGACAATTATCTCATATTCACAAGTGGAAACTTCCTTCATTTCGAAAATCTCTCCCCTACCATCTGGTTGACAAACATAAAGAACAGCTGCTTGTCGAGGACCCCCTGTCAAGTCACATAGTGTGCCATCGGTCAGGTTCACTTGATAAAAAGGAAGATCCAAACCCTCAACTTTCCTTGTATGCACCTGAATAAGAAACAAGTATATTCAGATCTGTTTAATCACCTCAAGTTTAGGATTCAATATGCAAAATAAAGAGTTTCACAAGCACAAACTGTTTTGTTTTTCAAACTATTTAACTCATTCATGTCAATCCACAAACAGTTACATTAATTCTTTAAAGATAGAAAACATTTAATCAAAACAATGCACAAATATAAAATAAATATGAATATGTAGCAGTTCTTAGTTTTTTTTTTGTGTATGTTAAATCAGTAGTAACAAAAAGGAAAAAGAAAAGCTATTAGTTTTAATACTAACAAACTATTCATTATTTATAATTATTACTTATTATTGTATGGAAAAAAAAAAAAGAACAAAAAATAAAATAATAGTACATTAAACAAGTGATTTAAAAAGGCCACGGAACTGTAAAATGTATTTTATTTGAATACAGGTGGGTATAGACAGTAATACAAACTTTTATAAAAATATAGTTATGCTTAGAATCATTTAAGCTATTGCTTTATTAAGTTATTGTCTCATATTGACTTCTGCCTCCAAACATCTTTTTCTATGAATAAAATATCACATACTGTATTCAGGGTCAGATTTGGATGAAGAGAGACCCTAGGCTATTTCACTTGTGAAGCCCCTTCAAATCCCCCATTCTCATGTGTAAAGAAAAATGGAAGAATGTTAAATTAAACAATTTGAGTAAAGCTGAGGATGATGACTGGTGTTTAGAGTCTATAATGCATTATGACAGCAGGTGTAAGAAAGGACTATGACAGTGTCAAAACTATTATGCACCTTGGTTGGAGGCCCCAGGCTTCAGCTTGTTAAGCCTATAGGTAAATTCGGAACTGACTATATTGATCAAAATATCAAAAAAGCCCCCCCACCCACCAAACACATACACTAGATAACATTGCATTTTCTTGTATATGCATATACATTAAATATGCACATGCAAATGACTGAAGGTTGTCAACTTGTATTAAAAAAATATGAATTATTGCTATGAAATAGAATAAGAAAAATTATAATGTAATACATATATAAATAGAAGTTTACTAGAGTAAAGTAGCTTCAAGCTAATACTTACAGGAGGACTATTAACAGCTGAAGTAGATACAGGTGGTGCTGTAATAAGAAAAAGATTGTTGTCCAAAATGTCTGATTCTAGTCAAACATAGTTAAATTAGCAACTTAGTACAAAATCTATACTAGTTAAAACTCTTAACTAGTAATATTGATTCCTATTTATTATGAGATGGACATAAAGCCTCAATTGACATTTCTTCTCAACCAGAATTGATTTTAATGAATAAAAAAGACATAAGTTTCTGTTTGTTGAGTTCATGCAATATGATCTTTGGTTAACCAAGTTCCTTTATTGATTGAATTTATCTCAATGCCCTTTACAGTATAAGTTTAATCTTTCAACATGACCAGGTCACTAGATTTCAACATATCAATTTCCTTCATTTTGTTTTTTTCCTAAAAGAATAGGTATCTGTTAAAAGTTTAACATTTTTTCTGTTAATATTTTTGTTGTGCATATATCATCAAAATTCCCTCTTAAGTGTAATGAATAATGAATGCATGTAATATTAAAAAAGAAAATTGTAAAAATATTTTAATTACTATCTTTTTATTAGACCTTTTCTCTTTATATTTAAAATTTTCTATATTTATAAAGGAGGAGTGCCCAATATTGAAGATCGAGTATTTATAGCTATAGACAGTGTGAACATAGTCACTATGCAGTGTTGATTCCTGTCAGTTTCACACCTAAATGCAATCTTCAGATCAACTGCCACAATTCCTTTAGCAGAATTTATATATAGGTCACTGGAAGATTAAGCAAAGTTAAGGAAGGAGGAAACTGGCTCTTTTGTTTCAGTCTTAAGCTTAGAGTTACTTATGGTCATAACCTCTAGACTGTTTATATGTATATTTATTTATTTATTTATTCATTTGTTTTATGTATTTTTCTTTAGTTCTAAGCTTTGGTATTTGGAATAAAGTTTATCAGATTTAGGAATTTATTTAGTCTTTTTGGTCATAATGTGGTTGTAGGTAGCATAGTAGGGATTTGCTTTTGTACTTGCATTTGGAAATGAGATCTAATCCTATGTTTAGGAGTTTGTTCTGTTCTGGAAAGTTGATTATTTTCCCTTTAGGCAAAGGTTACATTATTCTGCAGTGGCATTGTGAATGGATTCTGTTTTTCCTATTTTCCTTGTTATTTTTGGTGTGTTTCTAGTTTGTTTTGCCATATATTCTTTAAAGGATTTGTGATGATTGCATAAATTTTGTTATTAAATTATATAAGTAGCTTCTAATATTCCTATATATTTCCTCTTTCCCCACTACACTTAATCTTCTAGCAACATACATAGAACCTGATATGAGAGTTGTGGTATTTGGTCTGAAGATCACATTGAGGTGTGAAACTGACAATCATGATGCAGTGTTGAACCCACTGCTCAAACTATATTTCATATTTTCAATACAAAGACTTCTGATCTTTATGCCAAGAGATACTAATATCACTGTTAAAAAAGTCTACTCAAATCACTATATATATATATATATATGAAGAAATATAGTCTAAGATGTGCTATATTTATGGGATAAAGTGCTCAATATCAGAGATAGAGCGTGTATATATATATATATATATATATATATATAAATAAATAAATAAACAGTATATTTAAGCAGCAAGTATTCATTCAAAAAGGTTTGATTAAAAAGAACTGACAAGTCCATGACAGCTTTCCAAACAATACCCGGATGTAGACAAAGGAATTCTGTCTACCACATGGATTCTTCAAAATGACTGAGATGGTCGAAATTACTTGAACAAAATGACAACACATGAACTTTGAACAGTTCATCCAGTTTTAATCACACTACATGACATCTTACTTATTATAAAACGCAGATTGTGTGTGTGTGTGTTTGTGTGTGTCTGTAATGTTTATATGTTGGATCGAATTTCCTACATTTTTTAGCCGATTTCAACAAAACTTCACAGGACTACATAAAATTACCTTGTGGTGGTTCTAACGGGGCCGAAAATGGAAAAAAAATACAGTTGTTTTTTAATAAAATCAATTTGAAAACACGATTAAGACACATCGTGAGAATGAAAGGAGGAGAACTCACCCACGAAAATGTAAACAAAAGAGCATAGCATGATGAAAAAAAAGCCGAACTTGACGAAAACAAAATTTTATCGTCTAATGTTCATATTATTATTAAAGAGGAAAGATCAAAGTATTTTAGGGGGTATTTTTTTACATTTTTTAATCATTCCTAGCACATCTGAAAATTTTGTTAAAAATATTGTTTTTTTTTGGTCAAAAAAAAGGGCAGATAATCATTTTCAATCATTTTTTTCGATTTGATAAAAAAGATTAAAATCTTACTTTGATATTCTTTTAAAAATCAATTATCATTTTTCAAAACTGATTTTAATAAAAACAGAAATTATACTGTTTATTTAAAATATTCTGAACCAAGCTTAACTTAGCTTCTGCGCCGAAAAAAATGTAATTTGAAAATAAAACAAAAGCAGGTCATAACCTTTCCGGCGTCGCTTGACAATTGACTTAAAGGCACATTCATGACGTTTAGATAACTTACGGAGGAGAATTCTTTCTACGGATGGAAGGAAGTGAAATTATTTAAGTGAACAAATTATTTACCTTGTTACTTTTAAGGAAAACTTTCAGCGCTCTAATTTTTATTTTTATTTTTTTTTGTACTTAGCTTTCATTTTTACGTTTACGATGCTTTATGGAAAATATAAAGAAATTAAAAAATAAGACTGTTAGTGAGATTAAATTTCATAAGAAAAAGGTATCTAATTAATTTAGGTACCTTTCTTATGAAATTTTATCAGAAGTGTACATAAAATACTATAATTTTATGAACATTTATTACATTTTACTGTGTTATTTGTATTTCCATTCATTTTATTATTAATTTTGATATTTCATTTATGGAAAAATGTCATAACTGAGATTAATATAAAAATAAGATCATATAAATTAAAGTTTAGCAGTAGTTAAAATTCATAAGATGATACTGTTACTTGTAGGTACCCTTCTCAGTTGAAATTGAAAACTCAAATTAACTTCTCCATACGTGTTTTGCAAAAGTAAAGGGCTTAACAGTGGAGAACAATGCTGAACTCAAACAATGCTGAACTCAAACAATGCAACTAAATTGTATTCTGGTTGGTCTTCCGTACTTGATAATTACTGTCCGACTATAAACACAAAAATTACATTTCTTAATTACCATGGCTAATCTGATTGGTCCAAATTATACAATTTTCAAAGTGCTAGACAATGACAATCTCACACGGACATTTTGAAAGGTTGATGTTGCTTTTAACTAATGTTAAAATATTTTTAAAATTCAATTTAAACATTTTTTAAAATCTTTTTAAAATTAAAGAAATAAGAAATAATTGTATTAAAATTCAATTTTCATTGAAAACATTTTTTGCTTTCAGAAAATATTGTCCATATTCATAAAAACAAATTAAAACAAATAAAAGCATTTGAAACTAAATAATATATTTGTTTTATTGAGTTTTGTATGTTACAATTCACAGCTGATTTTCAGATACGTTGGCCCAAAAAAAAAAAAAAAACATGATTTGCATTCTTCAAAGCCTTGTGCTTTTAACTATTGTAATCACTAAAACCGATGGTCTCAAATTTCTAGAGCTTTTCATAAAATTAGTTATGGGGGTGTTAATAAATATAAAAAAAATATTTCTGCCATGACTTTAATAAAAAAAAAAAATATATTTATAATAATTTCGATCATCTGTGAATAGTTTCTGAAAGTTTCATTAACATCTGACAATTATTTTATTTTTGCAAGATTTTCCAAATTAATGTGTAAATACAAAAAAACGCTTAAAAATTATCTATGTTATTTACTACCCCTTGTTGCGACAAAGAGAAACAAGGTTTTTAAATCAAAATTTAGAATATTCTAAAAAGATGGAAAAATTTTAAAAAATAATTAAAAAAAATTTAGTCTATCCTCTTCATAAAAAAAATAAGCATTTTGACGATAAAAATTTTGTTTTCATAAACTTTGGCGTCTTTTTCATCAGATTATGCTCTATGTTTTAGCGATTCCATGGAGTGACTTAGGTTAAAAACCCAGGTTGTTTATGTGTGTGTGTGTGTGTGTGCCTTTATATATGGGATCGAATTTCTTACATTTTTCAGCCGATAAAACAAACATCCACTTTTTTTTTTTTTTTCGGCAGGTAGTATTTTTATTGTCTTGCACACTTTTTTCTTTATTTACATTCAGAATGCTTTAAAATTCCATTTACAAGACAATTGTTTATAATAAAATTCTATTCACCAATCGATAGACTCATAACGATTGTAAACAATGTTTTTGTTTGAATTTGGGTTTGACCAATTCGTAAAAAAAAAAAAACAAAAAAAAACTAATTAAGACATGCGTGTCCGTCAACCTTAAACAATAATCTTTGTCAATTTTATTTTTCAGTCTTTATGATGGTCGATACTTGATCTATCTCTTACTGTTACATCCCCGGGCAACGCCGGGCTCTACTGCTAGTCTTATCTAAAAATTGGAAACATGCAACAAAAAATTAAACAGACAGACCTGGTCAGTTCTTTTTAATCAAATGTGTTTGGAGATTATATATATATATAAAATGGACTCTCTCTTGTCAGTTTTGATGTATAAGGATCTGACAACTTAACCAATTGATTCAGTTATAAATTTTGTGCGATAATCTTAAGGGGCACTTAAGACCCACTAATGATTTGCAAAGGGAGCTGCATATGGAGCAAGAGTGAGAATTGTGAGATGAAGTTACTGTTAGATTGGCTGACCTTTTAGATTTTGCTTTCTCTTCTTGAAGACAATTCAGACTAACATATTGAAAACTGCCGAGTCCACTAAAACACGTTGATCTCCACTCTACCCGCTCCAAGGCTAAGTGCTCGAGGGCGTTATAAGGTATATTGACAACTAACAAATTGCTTTTCAGCTTGTCTTTGTATCTAAGCCATGGGTGTCTTACATTCCTGTAGCCTTGATCTAACTGGCTGTACATTGGGATC